AAATCTGATAGGCATTATATTTGCCCGCTCGCTTCATTACCAGTTCTACTCCTGGTACGCGCAACAGCTTCCCTTCTTAGCCTGGAGGACACGATACCCTGTGATTGTCAAGTGCGTCTTTCAATATCTCATGTCAACGGAACGCTTTAAACCTCCGCTTAGAATCGCTTTGATCATCGGAATCGAGTATTCGTGGAATGTATTCCCGTCTACATCAGTTTCTTCCACCATCCTCCTAGCAGGGAACACTCTCCTGCTGATTGGGATATGGTCCGGCCATCCTAACGGAGTTCAATAAGTTATCTCGTTCTTCAGTTGTACATGCTATCCGGAACCCATTCCTAATACAAATGTGCTTCTACCCCCTCGAGGCAGCACCAAAATCTTCTCAGCTCCGTGAACCTGGTATGTTTCCGTGCTAGGAATGGCCATCGAGCCCATCGTAACTTCCCCTGCCAGAGGCAAAGCGGTGACAGCAACTTTGGGAAGCGTAAGCTCCCCGTGATGCAGCGCAACCAGTGTGATGGGCACGCTATACGTAGCGTCGTCCTGGTGCTGGAGTTGAGTTCATCCACTTTCGGGTAGAAGGAGCGCAATCACCATGGCCGCAAAATCTCCTCGTTTCCTTCCGCTGACTAACCACTCACGCACCATTTCCTCAACATCGAAACGCATCATATAAGCGCGTTCTTTGTCGTTCACACTCGAGCCCCAATGGAACGAGGTGTGGATAGTCAGTATTGCAGGTATGGGTTGCCCAGCATAAAGTGAGGGAGTGCGCTCTGAAGATATCCCGGACGTAGACGTGGACGACACCAGACGGATGCGTGCGGCAGCAACAATCTTGGATGCCATCAGAAAGATTCTCATGTGCATCGAAAGGAAAACCGACAGTCATGTAGGGTACATCGACCGGGATCTTGATCTCTCGCCATTTCCCCTCGGATGGATGAGGATGTCGATGCTCATGCAGAAGCTGGACATCGGCACATTGACGGAAGCCTAATCAGACGAGCAGTGACACGAACTTTGATCACTTGAGAAAGAGGTTCATCACTTTGGTCAAGTTCGCCGACCACTTCAGGGACGTTGAGTTCGCCGGAGAGCCCATACATCTCGACCCATGCGCTGTCTTGTTCCAGAGCTTCGACGAGTCTGTTCACAAGACCAACTCGTTCTGCGAGCGACGCTGTCAAACTCGACGTGACTTGTTCAACCGAGGCCTCTATCAAAGCCTCCACCTCTAATAGAAAGTTTAGAACAACCTCCGACATTGACTACGTTTCTTACCTTCGCGTAACATACGGTAACTAATGCGAAACTTGAGAGAGTCCCGGACTTGACCTGGGTGAGGAGGGGCGAAAAAGAGACAGCAGGAGCGAACCTGGTCCGTTCACAGAGTCGAGGTAAAATAGGAAATTCGCAGGCTGGGCGGGTGTAACAGTCTGGAGAAGTTGTCAGCGTTGCCATAAGTCATACGGGGCTCGAGAAGCATACTACGACACTACGAGCCTGGGGTGAGCACGCCACTACTTTGACGCCGTCCAGTCCGCCCGCGGGGATCTGCAAATGTGCAGCTGCGATGCGAACATGTTGGTGGCTTGTAGTAGAGACGGTAAACTTGGAGAAGAGCCTGCAACAAGCACATCAGACAGTCAACGTGAGGAGAAGTCACGCAGGCCGACCTGTTTCCTCGGAAAAAATCTTCTACATTGACAGAGATCGGTAGCGTGGTTGCTACGACTCGGGCTAGGTGTAGTATTCGAGTTATATTTGGCTCCGCAACTGTGACGTATTCCACCTCAACATCGACTCTCTGGACGAAGGTTAGGATAAAAAGCGTAGTCCATGGTTGACTCACCATGGCGTGGAAGGCGGAAGCATCCGAATAAGGTAGAAGCAGTTCAAGATGGCTCGCTTCTTGAAGGTCCATGATGGACAAACACTCCTCGGCGGCCTCAGAGTTGGCATCATTCTGGGCTTGGGCTATTTTTGAGAACGAGAGAATGACAGGACACATAGGGCCATACCACTAGTGAGAGTGACCTGACTATAACGAAAAGTTACAGAGGGGGCATGTAATTTGATTGACGCTTTCGCTACTCGGTTCCTCCCGGTGGACACGGCAACGAGCAGGGTCGGAGGTTTCCCGAGTTCAACTAGCCTCGAGGTTGGGATGATATAACAGATCTTGTCGAGAGTTCACTCACTGAGGTTGGGCTGATGAAGACGAACATCCATTGACAGGAGGTCTTTGGGAATGCGGACCAAGGTGAAGGCGTTCTTATGGCCAGGAGATCTTCCACCGGGAAGAATTTTCCGGTGAGCCCATTGAAAGACAAGATGGGACATATGTGCCTCGGTGCTGTCAAGAATGTATGTACCAGCCGATGACGTCTGAGATTTAGGTCAACAAAGAGGAGACAATAGCAAAGTTTTGACACACTGGACAGAACAGAACCGCTTCGGTCTTTCCTGGAGATATGGCATCACAGTGTGCAGTGAATTTCAAACGTTCCGAGTCTCGCCCAGACAGCGTTGCAGCTATTCCATCGATTGGGACGATCTAGCTCATGGTCGGTCAAGGAAGTGAGAGAATGAGGCAAAAAAACTCACGCATGGTAAGTGATTGTGAATGATAACGTCAAGGAAGGAACCGTCTGTATCCCCCGCAGGCTTTGCAGTTGGCGACACTTGTATCGATATCGCAGGATGGTCCGAATGCGAGAGGTCTGGAGCTCATGTTAGGAGCATATGTGCCACACGGAAAGTTGCCAACCAGATTCAAGCGTGGACGCAGCACGTTTCATTTCCGACACAAGGCGAGAGATGTACTCAGTGCTATCTTCCTCGTGCATAAGCAAGTCCTGCCCCACAGTTTCGACATGGGTTTTAAGATATGAAAGGAGAATGTGGATCCATTCGCGATCTTTAGACTTGTCCAACGCCGCATGTGTGTCCAAGGCCAAAGACAGCATCAGAGACTCGAGGGAGGTCCACATATGTGGGGCGTAATGCGCAGGTAAGGAGGTATATGTTGTCAAGGCCGCTGCGAGCCGCCCACGGTGACTATGGTAGGCGAAATCAGAAAGCCGAACTTGAGAAGTACGAGAGAGGTGGCCCACACGTCAAGGGCTGCCAAGCTTCCATGAAGTTTGAGAGCGAATTTTCGGCGGCCAGCCTTAGCGTACATGTCGATTGCGCGATTGGTTATTCCGACGTATGTATCATAGAATGTATCTCCGCTTTTTATAGATTCCAAGATGTCTGGGTTGGAGATCTTTTTGTCGGATTCAGGCGAGCCAGATGTCGAGGGAGGATTGGGAGAATTCGAAAAGGGAGGGCGGGCAGGAAGATGTCCGACTTTGACGCCTATTATATCCAGCTTTATATTGATGAGAGCGATTCAAGAACAGTACCAGAAGTTCCGTACCTGATTTCGAGCGAGCTCGAGCAACTCGCCCTTTCCCGCATTGAAGGTGCTAAGCTTCGCTCCTTGTAGACTCTGCGCTACAGACCAGGTATCACATTGATCCACAACACTCAGAGCCGAAGAATATGTCCATGATTCAACAAAGAACTCAGGAATATTCTCCTGAGAAACATGAACATCCATACTGCACCGAAGATAGGCAATTCACCTCGACTTCTCGTAATCTACGACCGAACGCCCCGAGAAATGCGGCAGCTTTCCGGCTGACCTCATTGATTCGGCCTAGATTGGCAAGGAGCTCACACTGACGGGCGAGAAGGTATATTCGAAAATCGAAGACGGATATGGTGTTGGCAAGAATCAAATCTCGGTACGGTTTCTTGGAGATGGACAAAAGCGGACACGAATCATCATTGGGGCCGGGAGTGATGAGGGTACCGAACCAGGAGAGATTCTTTTCTTTCAGCACTTGATAAAAAGAAGCTTCCAACTCGTCGTATTGCAAAAGCGCATCCTCGAAAAGATTGACCCCTTGAAACGAGCCTGCAAGGCTTTCCTGGATTTATGTTAGCACATTTGCCGAGTGGATCTGAACTGTTTACCTTGAGGATAAAAAAGGTACAAAAATTCCAGCCCGGCATTTGACGCTGACTCTCTGACCGCTTAACATCGTCCTCCCTCTGGGATACAGCCAGATCGAAAGAGGACAATAAGCCGTCCTTGAGTTTGTTGACAAATTCGGCCCAAGCGGCAGGATTGTCGTAGCCGGCGGTCCATGCCAACTGCACGCACCTTGGCGAATAAGTGAAAAGCAGACTATACGCGATTGTAGGTACCTGTCCCGCCTATCGGTGTTGAAATCCGCTTTCAGCTTGTCAAGAACGGAACCCTTGAGTTGGAAAAAGTTTCCGCTAGGTGTCCGTGCATCTCTCCGGACGACGTGAAGTATCAGCCATTCCTGATTTTTCCGGGAGGTTACGATAGAGTGCCAATCTTTGACCTGGCGCTTGATCGAAGTCTTGTAGGTTTCAAGGTCGGTATCCTTGCGCGGCGTTGAGTACTAGGAATGTATTATGTGCTTGCCGATTCACCTCACAAGTAACGATATAGATATTGAGGAAAGGTTTCTCCAGTAGGGTGGCCGGTATCTGCGAGGTGTGTTCGTCTCGTAAAGATTCGAGTGGTACTAGCGAGATATCGAGTTCTTGTATGGTTCTGATTGAGGGTCGAGACGGAGACTTCCAATGGATGTTGCGCAGCGGGAGTTGAGCGAGAAGTGCAGTGTGTATTTGGTCCCAGCTTCCGGAGGACAGAAACACCTGTGCCCCAGAATATGACACCAAGACGCGCTGGGGAGGTGCCATCCTTGGTATGTTTGGCTGGGGTCTTTGATCCATCACCTTACATAAGCACAACAAGGTAAGTCATATGCATCAAGATCTGCGGCCGCGGCTTCGATAAAGAAAGTGGATCATCTACATGTCTGCGAAGTACTTGGGAGTTGCGTGCGCGATTATAAACGCAATGGCAGACGAGGAGAAATCATAGCCAAAAAATCAAAAGAAACCGACACCTGTGCGATTCGAACACACGCGGGCAGAGCCCAACACCTATGACTAGATAGCAGGGTGTCGCCTTAACCACTCGGCCAAAGTGTCTTGTTCAATGCGAAAGAGTTATAGTATTACGTTGGTAAATATACAGCAGTAGAGCAAGAGAATCGACTTACTTAGACCAATCGCGCTAGCATCCGTTTTAGGCTACCTATCGTCCGCATCCAAGTACAAATGCTTTACCCATGTATACTTGCATGCAGTTCGCGGTCCACGGCACGAATATACCTCAGGGTTCCATCGCCGGCCACGCCAGCGGAGGATCCAATGTAAGTATCTCGATGGACTCGTCTGGACTCTCGGGGAAAATGAAAGCCAGGATGGGATATTGTAGATCAAGCCCCCAGAATTACGGGCCGACTGTACTGGGGCAGTAGCCAGGCTAGGCCAGTCACGGTCAAGTCGATCGAAATTGGGCCGGAAAACATTTGGGTCCAAGCGTAGGCTACGATCAGATGGAATGATGATCGGATACCGGGCCGGACAATTGATAGTACTATTCGGACACCGTGACATGGGTAAGAAAAACAAGAGCGCTAGACGCGTAGAAGCTACCGCCGAAGCCTCCGTCGCCTTTCCGGACATCTCCCTCAAGTACGATCTCGAGTGCCACACCCTTCTCGAGGACCAGATTCTCGTCATCGATGTCTGTAACTTTCGATATCAGTTACGAGCTTCGAGTTGCCTGACTGCCAACTCGTGAAGGATATTCTCTCCGCTGCCGAGTGTCAATCTTTTGTGAAATTCATCGATGGACTACCACTGGAGCTTACGCCACCGAAGAAACGCGGAGAGGCCGAGAGGCACAACCGTAAGTACCCTGGCCCCGAAAAAACAAGCAAGGTCTGACTGCAAGGGGTCCAGACCGATATTCCGTCACGTCCGTCGAGTTTGCTGAGCGACTGCATGCTGTATTCGCCCCGCATCTTCCCCTGTTCCCTCAGGCTGCTAGAGGAAGCAAGGCAACTACTAGTCCACGCGTGGCTCGCAAAGCCCACTCTTTTAACTCCAATATCCGGGTATACAAGTACACCCCGTTGCAGCATTTTGGGTCCGCTGCTACTGCTATCAGCTCCATTGCCCCATTTTGACGAGCGGTTAGCCCCCATTACGATGACGACTGTCGAGACCCAGCGACCGGCGCAAAATCCGAATGGACTCTTCTCATATATCTAACAGGCTGCGAAGACGGAGTGGAAGGGGGAGAGGTAGCTTTTCTTCGTTCGACCGATGTCAGAGGTTTACTTCCGTCCAGACATTGTTCTACCAGGATGGAAAGTGCACATCCAGCAATGTCATCAAAGCCTCTCTCACGCGCGGGACTGCTCTACTACACCGGTATGTGCCGATCAACTAGGCATGGCGTCTAAAAATCTTGCGTTCAGCCACGGACACGAATGCATGTTGCATGAAGGGTCCCCCGTTATACGCGGTGTAAAATATGTGCTTCGGTCCGATGTCATGTTCATTGAATGACTTGTTCGAAATCTTGGTCTACTGATTCTCTTGTTATTCTCCCCTAGTCACCTATTGAGCCAAAAAGGTATTCATGTAAGCGACTAGGCCGTCCGTCTGCTCATCCGTCACTGCATTATACAGCGAGACACGGATACCTGACAAGATATTCTCAAGTCACTTCCGCCTGAAAACGCATATTGCTTACCTCCAACCGACCTTGCGTTCATGGTCAGAAAGAGTGTTAAATCGTAATGATACGCCGTACCTGTGGCCCTTGATCCCTTTGATCCCCAGCGCCTCGGCGCCCGATAAGAATCGAGCCTCTGCCCCTTCACCGAGCACGTCGAACACCACGTTCATCAGACTCCTGGAGCCCTCTTTGACTTTGGCACGCAACAGTCCCTTTTCTTCCCCAGCCTTTATGACCGAATACAACTTGTCAGCCTTTCGCTTATTGAGCTCCTCGTAATACTTGACACCACCCAGCTCCTGCGACCGTAGTAGCACCAATCCAGAAATGTAGATCGAAAGAACAGGCGGCGTGTTGTAAACGCTGGAGCTGTCTGCAAGCGTTTTGTATGCCATCGTCAGAGGCACAGGGACCGCTCCGAGCTTCGTCGCGGCATCGACATCAACGATACAGTCCTTGCGCACGATGAGGATGGTCAGACCCGCCGGCCCGATATTTTTCTGGGCGCCGGCATAGATGACAGCATGGTCGGCGAGGTGCGGGATGGGTCGCGACATGAATGACGAGGAATGATCGCCCACAAGAGGCAGCAAGGTATCCTTCGGAAGGAGATGGAACGGGAAGGATGCAGGAGACGCCTCATCGTTCGAGAACTCGACGCCGTCCACCGTCTCGTTTTCGCAGTAGTAGATCAGCGCGGGGTCGGGCGAAAATGTGTAGGCGTCGTGAGCTGGAATATTGTCGAAGGACCGCCCATCCTTCGAGTGGGGACGTGCGTCGACCGCGACGTTGACCTTGCCACCTCCCAGCCGCCGCGCCTCTTCGGCGGCTTTCTTACTCCAGGATCCGGTGATGACATAGTCCATAGCACGTTCATCGTCGGTGAGATCAGGATGAAGCAGACGGTGCCGGGCAAGAAGGTTGAGGACAACAGCAGAGAACTGGGCTGAGCCTCCGCCTTGGGTGAACAAGATGCTGTGCGTTGGAGGGACGTCGAGCTGGGTGCGAATTTGGCGTTCTACCTCCGCAAGGAAGGCGGTAAACTCTTTCGAACGATGTGAAATCTCCGCGATTCCCATACCGGTTCCATTGAAGTTGAGCAGACCTCGGACTGCTTCCTGTAGCACCGGTTCTGGCAAAGCAGACGGACCTGCACCAAAATTACTTGAGCGCGAATCGGACATGGCGATGGAGCGAGAATGTGGTGTGTATTCGAGCAACAGCTACTTGTAAGCATGTATATTTATACAGAGATCAAGTCATATCGGGGTCAGTGCGAGTGTAAGTACTAAGGCATGCAGTATAGGTGGGAACAGCAGCTTTATGCTGCGGTGACAACAAGGGTGCAGAAAGCAAAAGGAAATCGGTGCCAGAGGTCCGGAAAATCGATCGTCGAGCAATAAATGAGGGCGAAAACATTGTGAATACATCGAGGGAGGAGGTCGCGGCATAGATAGCGAAGATTATTGTCGAAGATATGCTGTGAAATGCGAAGCGGTGATCAGATTATGGATGCAGAGTAGAGCGGCGCCTGGTGCGCGTATTAGGGCCGTGCGGCATGATCGCAAGAAAACACGGGCATAAGATTCTGAAAGTGGATGCGAGAGTGATTAATGTGCGAGAGAGGTGTATGGGGGATTATTTCATGCAATGCCGGAGGCTTGAGAGCAAGGGGATTGGGACGCAGAGATGTCTTCCGACGACGGATAGGCCCGGAGACAGGGGGCAGTGCGCCACACTGGTCTAGGGGGTCGTCCACCACGAGCTGGGATAAATCTGCAATGTCGATGGGATCGAGCGTGTCGGGGCGGGCATCCATGGCGGATATCCAGGGCAGACGGTCGAAGGGGTGGAGGACAGACTCGACAGGGCAGTCTGCGCGCGCGCAGTGGCGCCGGCGACGCGGACGCGCTGCGCGCCGGCGATGGAGAGGGTTGCAATGGGAGCGGGCAGGCTGGCGAAGAGAACAATGAGATGTGGCCACACGAAAAGGGGAAGCGAGCGGGCGTACCGAGCGTAGTCGCGGGTCTAGCAGGATCGGAGACTGGAGTCGTAGAGGAGTCGTCAACACGACGAGCGGCGGAGAGGTCGTCTGTGGCGTAGATGAGCGACCTGGAGCGCAGAAGGACGGCGAAACAGACCATGGAATAAATAGCAGCGGCTGGCGGCGAGGCGAGGCGAGGCTGGGGTGATACAACTGGGAGCATCTGGGGGGCGAATAAAGTATACAGAGATGTCGTGACGGGTCTTTATGGGATTTGGATCAAGGAGACAGATGCATGGGCGGTTAAGGAGAACAATGGGGGCGATGGTCTGGTGGGAGTGTGAGCCAAAACGCGCACGTAACACAATGGGCGTGACGCGACGTGATGATCCCTTCACGCGTTCTGACTCGCGTCGACTCACTCACTATCACTAAGCAGATAATAGATCGTTCACACACACAAGACAGGAAATGATGTTGGTTTCGTGCAGAGAAAAACAAGAAAATGCAAGTAGTATACGACAGCGATCAATCTATCTCCTCCATCGCAGACGTCGACGCACCCTCCAGTGGCGGGGGCGCATCGTCGTCCTCGGCCGCAGCAGGCGCCTCGTCTTCGTCGTCCACGTCCAGACCGAGCCTGTCGCACGGTCAGCACCCACAAAGCAGCACCGCACAAAGGACCACTCACGAAATCATGCGGTGAATGCGCTTGGCAAATGATGTGGGTTCATCCAGGACAAACCCAGAGGTGAGCAGCGCCGTCTCGAACAACAGGAACGTCAGGTCCCGCACAGACTTATCACCCTTGTCCTCCGCGACCTTCCGTTTCAGCTCTTTGATGATCGCGTTCGCGGGGTTCAGCTCGAGCGTCTTCTTCGACGCCATGTAGGACGACATCGACGAGTCCCGCAGCGCCTGCGCCTTCATGATGCGCTCCTGCAAGACACCGTCAGTGCACATTCCACCCGCTACAGCGAAATTCACGTACCATGTTCGACGACCACCCGAATTGGCCAGTCACCAGCACGCAGGGCGAGTCGGTGATGCGGTTCGAGACGACAACCTTCTCAACCTTGTCACCGAGCGCGTCCTTGACGGTGGTGCACAGCTCCGTGAACTCGGCGGCCTCCGTCTCCCGTGCCTTCTTCTCATCGTCGGTCTCCTCCAGCTCAAGCCCCTCCTTCGACACACAAACCAGCTTCTTGCCGTCGAACTCCTTGAGTTGCGTGATGGCATACTCGTCGATGGGGTCGACGAGCAGGAGGACCTCGAAACCCTTCTTCTTCAGGACCTCGAGGAACGGCGAATCGCGGACGGCGGCGAGGGATTCGCCAGTGAGGTAGTAGATGGACTTCTGGATTTCGGGCATGCGGGTGATGTAGTCTGTGAAACTCTCGTGAGCGAAATGTT